AGTGGCCGATTCAAGTGGGTCGGGTAAATCCCGCTTGCTGTAAGGGGGTCATCAAAGCACCCCTCCAGAAGCAACAGAACCAATGCCGGGCACCCCCTTTCGCCTTCGGCGACGACGCGGCCTGGGCGCTGACCAGTGCAAGTTATGGAGGAATCCAGCCACTTGCTGGGAACTGAGGGCTTTCGGAATGAAGCTCCGAAGGACGAGGATGGTTCACAAGGATCATTCCCTTCCCAATTCAGTAGTTTTTGTGATTCAGAGCCATAGCAAAGGAAGTCATTGCAGCCTTTTAGTGAATAGTAACGAGAGGATGCAACTAAGGACCATGAATGGGGTGAGGCTCAAACTCAGTGCTGCCCGTACTTAGATGGTCGTCACCCACTATAGTAGTTGTAAGTCCCCATTCAGTGGGTTACAACCAGAGTTCGTAACCTCCCAGACCATCTAAGCACCGACTCTTTGGTACTTCCGGGGAAAACGGGAAGCCGTCGCCATTCTAGGGCACCGATTCCTACTTCACTTCCTGAGTGGATTGGCAAAACAGAGTCTGAACTGCATGTTTGTTTAGCACCAAAATGAAGTCCGTGAAAGCCAATGAGCTCCAGAAGTGAAATTTTGAGTAGCCCCGTGGCAAATCGGAACTGCCATGAACGAGATCCGGGGCGCGCACGGAGATTCGCTCACCGGCAGGCCAAGCTGAACCTAGAGCTGCGAGCTTTCAAACTCGGGTCTGCTTGGGCTGTCTGTCTATTTGGGGGTTGGGGACAAATTACTTGGGGAATGAGGGAACCCCTATCATCCCCCATGGTTTCCGTTGAGGGAATCCCAAATGGTTCATTCTCAACTCGCTGGGTCATTCCCGACTGAGCACCAATCCGAGTTCGACATGGTGTGTCTGCTGTGGAGGCTGTGTCTTTAGCGGTTGCTTCGCCATCCATTGTAGGGAACTTACCCCCAATTCGCAACGACCTGATTGTCTTTTCCACACCTTGTATGGCTACATCGTGGGGCAGTGTTGTCGGGGTGCGCTTGGACATCCACATGGGGTTGCCTTTCAAGCTTTTCCAGCAGGCACCCCGATGTCAAAGGGCCAAGTTCTCGTGGATTCAAACTCACCCGAAGGATGCCAGCAAACGCTGTTAAAGGCTGCAAGCGATCGGAACCTGTTTCTTGTTTTTGCATTTTCTCCCTCGCTCGCTGGCCTGTCCGGCATCGTGCAAGAGCGCAAGAGGTGTTGTGAGGTCCTGCCAGGCGAAAAGATGCGGGCGACCCCAAATCTATTTTTGTTGCTTCCATGTTACTTGTTGGTTTATGGGCCCAAAAACAGGTGGGGGGTTGGACAAAACAGGTTCCCCTTTCAACATGGGCCAACAAGTGATGTGTAATGCCAGCAAAACTGGAAAATATGAAGACTCCTGACAAATGGCGCTGCTTTTTCGAGGGAGATCCCCAAGTTACCAGGTGAGAACAGGAAGCGCCCGATGTACTACGTATGGTTTGATGTTGGTTTGCTTGCTTCGGCAAGGTATACCGTTTTTGGGAGAGCTGAGCCACTCAGTTTTGGGGTTCTTTTTTGGAAACACACATTTTCAGGTACCCGAGCATCCAGGAAACTGGGCAGATAAATGCTCGTAAGTGGGTGGTTAAGTTACTTCTGCAAATCTAAGTGAAGTGTTGGCGGGGAAAACCGGGCAATTGGCCTAAGTCTCGCATGGGTTTACCATGTTTTGAGCTTGGGGTTGGGCTGCTTCAAAGGGGAAAGCACATCCCCCAGTCATTTTGGGAGTTCTCTATTTTGAGACAAGCAATATGTCAAACTCATTTCTGTCACACTCAACAAGGACATTGAGGTACCCTGTAGGGTTCTGTTCAAATTGACAGGGAACCAAAGCTCTCGTGGTGGCCGTGCAATTTCCCGCTTCGAAGACACACCCACATGACTCCCGAACTGCGGGCCAGGGTGTCATGGTTCCCTAAAAACGGGACCATCCTGATTGTCTCAGAATAGAAGGGGGTATGGTTTCCCTCTGACTTCCTCGTGAACCAACCTACCCTCGAGCACAGTTGGTTTTTGCCAGGGCCAAAAATTCCTGAGGCTTCTGAGCGGTTTCCACCCTCGACAAAGCACCAATGTGAGTCACGGAACAAGATACCGGTTTCCAGAAATGTTGTGGGCTGTTTACACTGGTTTCCCTTTGAGTTCCTTTTAAAGTTTAAACCAAACCCAAAAGGATAGAACACAAGGGGGCTGAATCCCAACATGATTGTCCCATTGTCATCTTATTTGTTTCCTATGGTATCCCATCCCATTCTCACTCTTTGGGCCTGATTTTTCATCAGGGACCCGAAGTTGTGGGCATCATGTTCTTCGGTGGGGATTCAGGGGTGGTTGAGGAAACCACCAATCACTTAGGTGGTTCCAACTCTTGAAAATCAGAGCCATCCGGGCCTGTCTTGTTGTTGTTGCATACCCCTTCTTTGGCGGTTTTAAAGTTTGAAAGGGAACAACAGGAAACCCCCCATTTTGGTGGTCCCCCTAATTCGGGGTTGTCTCAAAATCGGGTAACCTCCCCCCCCCAAAAAGAAACAAAACAACCACAGTCGTTTCCTTTTGGCTTCCTTCAAACGAACCCCAAAATGAGTTTAACACGAACATGTCTCGTTTGCCTGTTGGCTTCCCTTGACGCCAGCCCCGAAATGAGTACCCCGGGCCTCTCCCCGCAGCTCCGACGGCACCCGCAGCCCCGCGATCTGAGAAAAGTTCTGTCTGTCTCTGTCTGTCTGTCTGCCTGCCTGCCTGTCTGCCTTTCTGCCTGGTCTGCCTGGTCTGTCTGCCTGCTCTGCCTGTCTGTCTGTCTCTCTGTCTGCCTGCCTGTCTGGCTGGCTGCCTGGTCTGGCTGCCTGGTCTGGCTGCCTGGTCTGGCTGCCTCCTGGTCTGTCTGCCTGGTCTGTCTGCCTGGTCTGTCTGCCTGGTCTGTCTGCCTGGTCTCTTTGCCTCGTCTGTCTGCCTGGTCTGCCTGGTCTGTCTGGTCTGTCTGCCCGTCTGCCCGTCTGCCCGTCTGCCTGCCTGCCTGCCTGCCTGCCTGCCTGCCTGCCTGCCTGCCTGCCTGCCTAGGTCGCCTTTTGAAGGCTGGGTTGCAGTTGAAAAAACCGAAAGGAACAACCACAACTTTGTTGGGTCCTCCTAGTTTGGCACAAATTGGGGTACGGTTTGCAAAAAAGTGGTGCAATTTTCTCGTTTTGGATTAGTCATCCGCATTAAGTATTTACCCACATGCGGAGACTTGTCTCTTAATTAGTGGGTCGATGGGATGCCTCGATTTGTCCTGGGATCTATGCTTCCCACTGTTTCCAAACAAATCGGAAAGGGTGAAAAAAGAGGCGAACCTCGCGAAGTGAAGAAAAGTACGAAATAAACCAAACAGCCCGGGAAGAGAAAAGAGAAGTGAATGAGGTGCGAAATAGAGAAGCACTCTAGAGAAAAAACGGGAACAAACAAACTTTGATTCCACGACTGCTGAAGCTTTGCGAGGGGCTCGCGATCTGTCAGCAAGTTTGGGAACTTAGGGTTGCAAATCTCGGCTGCGGGGCTGAATCCCACGATTGCCTCCGAAAAGCAAACAGAGGACCCGTCGTCAAGCCTGCCGTTTGTCATTTTGCCTGAAATCAGGCTCTCAATTGGTGGATTGGTGGTTTGGGGATTTGAAACCCAGTTTCTGATAGAGGCAAACCACCCCTAACCTCCACCAATCCAAACCACCAAGCAAAGTTGAGCTGATGAAACATAGACAAGGCTCTTGGCTTCAAAAAGGTCAGCCTGAAGCAATGGGTTCCGCCTGAAACAGCATCCCACCCACGTTACACAGGCAGCTGTTACACAAATCTTCGCCCCTGGAGGTCGCGGGTCGCCCCACCTTTGCTCCCTTCAGGGGCGGATGTTTCTTCGCGGGGAAAGCATTTCCCCAGTTCCTCGCTTGTAGGGCATTGCATACACGTAATAATACATACAAACACATCATTTTCCATTGTATTTTCTGCTGTATTTTCCGTTTACTTGTTCCTTCCTTTATTTTTGGCTGATGCCATTGGTACATGGCCGCTTGGCTGGAGCTCCCCGGCGTGCCACGGCCCAAAGTCCACCGGCAAGTCGATGCCGCCGTCCGCCTGGCGGCTTTTGGACAAATCGATGGCGCTGGTCCCTCGAGGCCATTGGAGCTTCCGGCTCGGAGGGAGTGTAATGGATGGTTTGAATGAAGCTGAGTGATTTTGGTTTCCCGCCAACCATGTTTCGGTGTAACAGTAAAAAAGACACCCCCATCAACTTACTGGTGTAGGTTCCAAATAAGGACAATGGAGGAAACCCTGGAGTAACCCTGGAGTAGCAAGAGAAAAGACACAATCAAGTGGCTATTAACGGCTATTAAGTTATATCAGCAACCCTTCGGTGGGCAGCCGGGCACCAACAACAATGGGGACTTAGGTCCAACCATGGAGGGGTTCCCGATTGAAGTTCATACGTGACTGGTTGCCATAAAGCTTAAGTTATTAAGGTGGCAAGATTCAATGGCAAGGCCCAAAAAAGCCTCCTAGGCAGGCTAGCATGGCTTTGGCAGCTTGAAGAACTGCTATCCCCTAGGCTTCTCAACAAGGGAGCTTCCTGAGGCGGTCTTGGAGGAATCTTCAGTAAAGATTGAAATGTTCTAGGGACGGCCTGAAGAGGTGACATTTGGCTGTGGCTCAAACATATGTACCAAAATGGCGCCTTGGTAAACGGGACCAAAGACTAACACCTGCGCAACCCTAGTTCTTCAATTTTGAGCCACACCCATTTCTTTCTTCATCCGCAGGCAGTATTTCCGACGAATACACTGGATACAGATCACCCCGTAAAAAGTAAACTGGCGTTAGAATGGCAGCCGAACGGTGATGCCCGAAACCAGCAAAACCATGAATTCGCCTCGGCCCCAAAGGGGCCAAGGGCGCTGAGATTTTTTCCAAAGAGAATCTTCGCCCCCCCCCCCAACCCATGTCGGCTGGCCCAAAAATCCTGTCCGGCGGGCCTTGAAATTTTCGGGGTTCGTCGGCGTCCAGCTCCATGGGTCCATTTTTGTCGAATGTGCTGACAATTGCAAAAATCAGTAAAAAATGCTTTTTTGTCCTGAAAAGCATGACCTCCTGGTGGCCAGGCCTGTCTGACGTGTCTGAGACTAGGCTCAGGCCCAGCCAACCAGCAACCCGCCTGCTGGCCAGGCCTGTCAGCCCAGCCCACCCAGCCTCAGGCCCAAGCTTGTCTGAGCCCAGCCTGCCCAGCCCAGCCCGGCGCATCTCAGGGCATGCCAGACTTGGCCGGCCCCCAGCTCCCAGCCCATTAGCGGGCTCAGCCCGGCGTGGTCAGGTTTGTCTAACGTGTCTGAGACTGGCCAGGCCAACGACCAGTCTCACGTGTCTGAAACTGGTCTCAAGCTATGCCAGCTACTAAGCCTGTCTGACGTGCCCCAGCCTTTCAGTCCGGCTGCCCAAGCAACTCAGCCCAGGCTGGCCAGGCCTTGACCTCCTGCTCGCGTCTGGCCCCAAGTCATCCAGCAGGCCCCCCTTCGGCGCAGTCTGAGACGGTCTCAAAGTATGCCAGCCTGAGACTAGACTCAGGCCCAGTGTCTCAGCCCGCCTGCTGGCGTGTCTTACGTGTCTGCGACTGGCCTCAGGCCCAGCTACTCAGCCTCAGGCCCGAGTGTGTATGAAACAGGCCTTGCCCATCCAGCAACCCGCCCAAGCACAGCTCAGCCCAGCCCGCCCAGCCCAAGTTCCAGGCGCAACCAGCAGCGTAGTCCGGCTGCCCGCAACCCACCCATGGCTTCGCAGCCTCGTGGCTGAGACCAGCTTCAGGCCCAGCCCAAAGCCTGCCCAGCCCAGGCCCCGGCGCATCTCAGGGCATGCCAGCCACTACCAGCTCCCAGCCCACCAGCAGGCTCAGCCCAGCGTGCCAAGGTCAGGTTTGTCTAACGTGTCTGAGACTGGCCTCAGGCCAACGACCAGTCTCACGTGTCTGAGACTGGTCTCAAGCTATGCCAGCTACTCAGCAGCCCAGGCTGACCAGGCCCCTTCGGCGCAGTCTGAGACTGGTCTCAAGGTATGCCAGCCTGAGACTAGCCTCAGGCCCAGTCCCTCAGCCCGCCTGCTGGCGTGTCTTACGTGTCTGCGACTGGCCTCAGGCCCAGCCCAGCCAGCAACTCGCTACCCAGCCTCAGCCCATCCAGCGACCCGCCCAAGCACAGCTCAGCCCAGCCCGCCCAGCCGAAGCTCCGGCTGCCCAGCAGCCAGCAACCCACCCATGGCTTCGCAGCCTCGTGGCTGAGACTAGCTTCAGGCCCAGCCCAACCAGCAACCCGCCTAAGCCAACCCCACCCAAGCCCACCCTGTTTGAGACTCGCAGGCCTCAGCCTATCTAGCGCCGAGACTGGGCCTCACCAGCCTGGGCTCAACTAGCGTCTAGCGCTGGCCAGGCCTGTCTGACGTGTCTGACACTGGCCTCAGGCCCAGCCCAGCCATAGCCCAGCCCCCTCAGTGCGGCTGCCCAGCCCGCCGTAAACTAGCTTCAGGCCCAGCTCAACCAACAACCCACGCAAGCAAGGTCCAGCCAAGCTGCGCGAGACTAGCTTCAGGCCCAGCGCAGGCTTTTCTGATGTGTCTGAGACTAGCCTGTGGCCCAGCCCAACCAGGCGAGGCCGGCTTGTCTGACTTGTCTGGAGCTAGCTTCAGGTATTCGGACCTTCCCAACACTGGATTTCGGTGTTCCTGACCCTTCCCTCAAACTAGGCTGGGCCGAGGCGGGCAACGCGAAGCGTTTACAATTAGGGTACTGGGCGTGGCGTTTTTTGGCGGTACCCCTCCTATTGGTTTTAAGGAACTACCAAAATAAAAGAAACCGGTTATTTTGACCCCCGCCAACGGGGAAAACGGCCCTCACCGTTGCCGATGCAGGTTTTGATCGAAACCCAGATGGAGTGGCACGCTCTTTGCTGGCAGAACGGATCCACGGGCTTGTCAGTAGACAGTTAGCACAGCCAATAGGCGCATACATTTGGATGTGTCTGTTGATAGGAATTGGACCCCCCTCTGAAAAAAAGTGGGCCCGCGGGGTTTTCTCTTTGGTTTCCCACAAGCAAAAGGCTAGAGGAGCGGGTGAACGAAAGCTAGCAGTTGTTGCATGAGATGGGTCGGTGACAGAGTGGATTCATAGGTAGCTTGTGTACAACGAGAGGCCCGGCAAGATTCGTAGGATGCGACACGCAAACGCACATGGTGGCGTGGCAAACCTTGAAAAATGAAAACAACGAGAGGCGTCAGAAGCTGTCTTAAAGCACCTCTGGGTTCTGCATGCAGCGTGTGCCAAGATTCTTGCGAGGTGGTTTACCGAGAAGACTGAGGTCTCAAATGAACAAGCTGAATCGGTGGAACATGTAAAAGTTCGTAGCACCAAGTCCAAAACGGGCAAACCGAGACTGCTGAACACTGAGCCACTGCCCGGGGGGGGGGGGATGGACCAGGGAGGAATCGAGCCTGAGACCCGGGGGGGGGGGAGGGGGGGGGGGGTCTAAATAATTGATGTTTTTCAATCTTTTCGGCTCAAGCAATTGAAAAAATCAATCTTTCGGCATTTGAGCCCCTTACCTTGCTTACGCAAGGAGAAACTTCAGCTAGCTAAAGCTAGCTTTCGTGACAAAGACGCACCCAGTTGGAGGTTCAATCAGGACATGAGCGGGAATCCACAATTGGGGCTGCATGTGCCTGATTTTGTTCACCCAGTTTTGGATAATGTAGCCCAGGCCTCAGGGTTCGTTTCCCACCCCATGGGAGATGTTACTCGTACCTCGAGGCATACCAGAGCGAAGTGAAAGCGTGCTGACCTGGTGCTGCTTCACGACCATGCCGTCACCAGGTGTGAAGAGGTCCTCGCATCGATGGCACGTGTGGCTTCGTCTCTGCGAGGATTGCTTCGACAAGTGAGCAATGCTTGGCAAGAACGGCGTGGGTGAAATGCAAAGAACCACGAACAGCACATTCCTCCAACTCATCAGCCAACTTGCATTCCCGTCCTCTGAGGTTGACAGCTCCATCATTGGGTCTACGCCTTCGCGACTGAGCCTCGCCCGCAAGGACTCGCTTGACACCACCTGGGCTCGATCTCTGCTCTGAGCCGATCCTATTTTAGTCGTACGCAGCCGAAGCATGAGGCAGCCAAGCGTACTCCTCATGAACGACAGCGAATGTCGACTCAACTGTTTTGACATGCTGATCTTAGCTTGGTCAATCTTGAGAATTGCCTGGGCCCAAAAGTGATGGGTTGCACCCCCGATCAAAATCAAGCAGGGTCGTATTACTCAAGTGGGTTCCTACCAACAAGTCCCTTACTTCAAGAGGAAACGTGACTCACTTCCTGAGTGGATTGGCCAAACCGAGTCCAAACTGTTCATTTACCACTAACATGAGTCATTACAAAAAGTATAAACCCCATGAATCCAGGAAGTGAGGAAAGGAAACATGTTCTTAGAGGGACGTCCTATTGTCGGGTTCCAGGCAACGTGGGTGGGAGGGTCTTTGTTTGCAAAGGGTCTCGGGAGCGACCCGGGAAATTAATTTTGGCACATGCCATTAGGGATGTCTAGTGCTGATGCTTGCTGGTGCCAATCCTCGCTGCGAACTTTTCCCAGCCACAGTCAAAATTCAATTGTGGTATGGGTAAGTATCTGAGCCTTAGTTTTTGTGGTTCAACTTTAGGGCTCATCCATCCTCGCCCCCCCCCCCCCCCAAACAACAGCTCTCCCCCAAACCCCTCCCAACAAAAAAAACAGACAGAAAAAACCTCCAGTACATTTTTCCAGAACCTCATATTGCCCCTCGCCACTTTGGCCCCGCACCCCCAGGGGCTTGTGCCCGAACCAAAGGTTCACCGACAGTGAAAGCCTCAGCCGGTTCTGCCCAAGGGCCTGAGTTCCGGGCTTTTTCGATGCCCTCTTTACATCCCTTTCCAAGAACGGCAGTGGGGTTTCTGGAGGCTTTTCTCAAAGGAAAGCTTTTGGAAATCCTGCGATCCGCAGCTTCCATGGACTTCGGGAGGGTATTTCTTTAGGAGGGGTCTTAAAGGAAACCAAAAGGAACTCAACCAGTTTGGGCATCCACAACACACCCATGGGACCTCACATTGCGTCTCTGGGGATCCCACAGAATTGATGGCTTCCTCTAATTTTCCCTAATCAACCCCACAATGGGTACCCCCGGATTTAAAAAATATCCGTACACTGATTCAGAGCCTCAGCAAGATGGGCCATCGCACCCTAGTGTCTATGAACTATCAGGGGGCCATTGTTCTTCGAAGGGCCGTATGAGCCGTATGTCATAAGCCTCTCATGGATCTACGGCACTAAATCAGTATTGGTCTTCTGGGTCGTGTTGCCGCTTCTTTGAAAGGGAAACCACAGCAAACCACCCACAAAACACATCAACCCATGGAACTTTCGCCTTGGACCATTGGAGTCGCCTTGTTGGGCCAGTGTTCTGCCCGGAAATTCCAGGACCACACGTTCTCCAAGAGGCCCTTTTGCAAGAAAAGATGGCAGCCTTTTGGTATAGCCTGATCATCCATTCTTGTCGCTGGGTATGAGCAGAGATGGGTTGGCGGATTCCTTTTATGCTTACATATGCTTAGTAAGTCATCCTTTGTCTGTCCCTATTCCTGCTCCTGTCTTCCCCAGTCCCTTCCTTGTCGAAGATTCCTGAGATTGGCCAAACTAAGTCCGTACTTGTTCTTCACCACGGTCCTCTCAAAAGGTACACAAATCCCAGACACTGAGGGAGTGAGTTCTCCAGGTTCCCTTGAAGTGCCCTTAAAACATCACTACCAACGGGAAACGGGCCAACAAGGTGACGTTGCCTCCCAGAGTGAACTGTGCATCTTCTTTGGGGTTGTTGAATAGCCGGGAGTGGGGCCTTTGTCCCCCGAACTGGGGGAGGGGTCTTGCCTAACCAATCTGAGGCCTTCGACCAATCTCGGCCCCCTTCGGGAAATCGGACCGCGCCTCTCGCCTCTTGAGGCGAAGCGTGCAGGGCAGCCGTGGAGAAGCCGCCCATCGAAGGCCACCTCAGTCGGTGCCCTCGGGCAATGCGCATCGGGGGCGATGCAGGCCAAAATGGGTCATGCCAGATTTCCGCTTTTTTTTGCTAGATCCTCCAGCAGAGAGGTTAGTATAAGGGTACCCTGTTTTTCTGTAGTCTATTTTCGTAGGGGAACCCTCCCCAAAAAAAGGGTAAATGGCACTACTGGGGGCCCTAGTTGGGTTGGGTCAAAGGGGAAAAGCGAAAGAAAACGGAGGACAACCTTTGATACAAGTCGACAAACCCACAAATGGGGGAGATAGCCTCCTTCAAGCAAGAGGTATGTTGGTGGCGCTGGATACCCAGGCTTCGCTCAGCCCCTGAAGGATCCGACCGATCCTGCGTCAAGCAACTTTGAAGCCTTGGCGATGCAACAAGCCACAGCCAGGGCTGCAAAGAGCGCCCACGGTCCACGGTGTGGACCGCCAAAGGGTTCCTTTTTTGGGGGTTGGTTTTAAGGAACACCCAACAGAAACCATTCATTCTAAGCGGTTTTCATGGGGTGTTTCATTTAGAGACATACCCACATGTTAGGGTTCTTTTCATTCCCTTTGGTCACTTCTGGAGATAAGTTCATGTATGAAACGTTCGCCGCTCGAATGAGTTTGCTGAGGCCACCCTGGTTGGGGTTGAACTAAAGGGAAACCAAAAGGAACATGGATAGTTTTTGTGGGTCCCCCATTGTAGCACACACCAATATCATGGCCGTGTCACTTTTAGGGGACCCGCAAAATGGTTGGCTGTCCTTGGGTTTCCCGTTGACACATCTGACACTAACCAATAAAAAGGGGTGAGTTGGTACTAAAAAAGAGACGCACATATATGTTGTTCGCAGTTAAAGCGGATGGACCTTGCAGGAATTCTCGCCGCAACAAGTGTTCGACTTGCCAAGGTGCATGTCTCCCCGAGACGGGCCGAGTGAGGAATGCAGTGACCTGCGGTGCCACGGAAAACGGTTCGCCCCAAAGTGCACTGTAGTATCTGGTTCAGTCAGGAGGGATATTTCTTGACTCACTTAGAATTGGGTGAAAGTAGATGGCACAACCCCTCCGTGGCTTAGTCTGGCTTAGTCATCTCCTCAACTCACCCACATCAGGGGAATCGTCCCGTCTCTGTACTCCCTTACAGGAAGGAAGGATTCATAAATGGCCCAACATAGTTACCCCGGAGGATATGCACAAACTACGGCTCCCGGTGGTCATGGTGGGAAATTCAGGCCCCTGGTTTCAACAAGTGCCTCCTTATGGCTCCCGGGGAACATGCAGCCTAACTAGTGTTTTGACTTGCCAAACATCAGAATCGCCGTGGTTATCAGGCAGATCATTAAGCTGACCTGCCGAGACTCTGGGGATTGTGCTGAACTCGAGCGCTCAACATCCCCAAACCTGGTTTGATCCGTTCCTCATGCGCGCGGCAAAAAAAATGAGGGACACCCCTGAAACAATGCAACGCTTTTCTTTTGGCTTGTCTTTGAACCACACAGAATGTGAGCGACTGCAATGTGCCTGGCCCTCTATCGGCTGAAGCTCGCCCTCTTTCAACACTGGCTGCGATAGAACCTCGGGCTTTCTCCAAAGACTCGGCCCACATCTGGGTTACAGCAACATGTGTTTTCTAAAATGATTATTGCTAGCAACACTCTTATCTTATGATTTATTTTCTCACTTCCTGAGTGCATTTAGCAAAAAAAAAAACTGAACTGTGTGTTTGCCACGAAGATGGTCTTCCCAAAAAGTCCATGGACTCAAGAAGTGAGTCTTCAGCCTTCAGCCTACCTAGGTTTGGAGGAGACCCCAGTAGACCCTGGTAGAAATCTGGTCGCTGGTAAAGGGAAAGTATATAAAACCGACAAAAAGGCTCAGAGTACCCTTGTGTGTTGCAGGCCCTTCGTTTCAGAGGTCTTTTGCTCACAGCGCTCGCCTGTTCCGATGGGCCCTCTGCCACTTGCAGTGCAGGCATTGCAATCACTTTTGACAAACCAACCTCGTTGGATCCAACCCTCCCTAAACCCCCATCTTTCTGGATTCCTTCAAAATAGGGAAGCCCCCCAGTTTTGGGGTCTTTTTCCTTTGGGTGTCCATTCAAAACCACGCCAACAGTGGAAAAAACATGGCTATCCAAAAAGGGTTGCCACGACCCACAACAAAAGGGGAGCCACACATCCATAAAACACGTGCAAAATGCAAATTCCCGTCGAAGGCATCACGAGGCTTGCCATTAAAAATCCCAGCAGGGTATACTGCAAAAAGGATCTTCGAGCCACGAAAACGGAGAGCAACACATCGGGGTTGATCAAAAGGTCCTTTGCAAGGTCCTTTGCAAGGTCCTTTACATGGGATGACCACGGGGGAAACCACTAAACGATGATATTTCCCACTGAATGGCGAAAGTTACCCATGGTCAGTTGGGGGCCAGGAATCTTGATCAACCCCCACATGCATTAAACGCCAACCTCACCAAACAGGAAATCCTCCACGTCTAGGGAATTATCATCACTTCCATCAAACAATGAGGAAAGCAACACATCTCCATTTTCAGTTGCCCCACCAACTCAACCCACCGCATCCGTATCCATCCGCATCGGACTGCCGAGGCTTGGGCCAGCAAGGGTGCACCTGTGGAGCTCAAGTACGTCACGGTGCTCAGCTTCGGCATCACCAAGACGTCCTCTCGGTCCAGGAGGTCCTCGTCCTACGAATTGGACGGTCCCACGAAGCCCGGGTGAAGTTTCCAGGATTGCCAGGCTGAAAAGGGGGAAAGCACACCTTTGATAGCCGGTCGATGTTCGAATCCCCCTTTTCGTTGGTCGATGTTGGCAAGCTTTTAAATCTTTGGCCGACTTTGAAGGAGTTTGCCCCTTGGTCATTTGATTGCAGCCCCTCAAGGGGGCTTCTGGAAGGCCACAGCGGTCATGGGGGTCCAAGTGGTCCCAGGTTGGTTGACGTCCACAGCACCACTGGAGGTCTGGACTGACATTTGGGACATTGCAAAGGACGCAACTAAGATGCTCTGCGAACTTCGAGATCGGGGCTCCACCTGGAAGGGATTGCCCTGACTTCGATCCCTTCCTTGTCGAAATGCCAGTCCATGCCGCGCTCACCCGGAGGTTGCTCAGGACCCCTGGCATGCCGAAGCGTTCGGTTTCAAACTCAACCACAACTGATGTGAGGGCTTCCTCAAAACAGAGACACCCCTGTATGTATGTATGTATGTATGTATGTATGTATGTATGTATGTATGTATGTGCGTATGTGGGTTTGAAGGTGCCCTTTCTGGGGCTCGTCTAAAGGAACACCAAAAGGACAAGGGGTGAACGAGGTGGGACAAGCAAACCTTTGCACTCTGAGTGAAAAAAAAAACCGTTTGGGTGGGCTGGACAAATTCCCCATCTTATGCTGGACCCGAAGGACCTGGAGACTGGAGATAGCTGAGTGTAGAAACGCAGGACTGACTTTGGGTGTGTGACGTTGTGGGGAGAACCCTTGCCAAGCAAACAGACACATATTACAACTCTGGTCTCAGGACTGCACATCTTCTCAAAGGATATCGACCGGCATCTCCCTATTTATCAGAACAGAATTGCACACGCGTTCACAAACGCATGTGCACACATGCCCACAGCACGCACACACACACACAATGTAGCTTAAATCGATCGCAGTCTTCTCTTGCAGCGAGAAGCATGAACATCGTAGCCTGCTCATAAGGGCTGGGTCCGGGTTGCATCGCAACTCAACATTCCAGACTGTGGGCATTCGATGCCACCGGGTGTTTTGACACTGGAGGTTCACCAGGCCCCAGGTTCCCCATGAGACAAACGGTGTCTGAGCTGTGATCCGCTTGAGCAGAGCTGTTTGGCGTGCATGGCCTTTGGGGCTTGTTCACGCGTGTGTGTCTTGGAAATGTCGGTGTACACATGTACACCAAATCTGACCTTTCTTGCAAGTTGAACCTGTTCTGGTCCACACGCCATTGTCACCAGGGCACGGGTGATCGAAAGGCTCTGATACCTTTTATGGACCAGCCGGCTGTGTCAAAACTTTTGGGCCTTGACAATGAAAAAGCTTGCCAGCTCAACCAGGAAAAGGCAAATCAAGAGGAAAGCCGAATCCGAGGGACGAGGGAAAGCGACAAAGGAAGCGGGCTAATGCCAGGCTATTCCTCTCTTTGTACGGCCTGGCCAGAACCATTGCGCCATTTCAAGGGGTCCGATTCCGGAAGTTCAGACACACGAAGGACCATCCAATTGGACCCAGGGCTCCCAAAATAGAACATTTTTTTGAAGGCCCTAGTCAGCCGGCTCATGCCATGGGTTCCTATTTCCTTAAACGTCAGGAGCGAAGCCCGGCTGAGGGCACCCGAGTTTTTTGGTCCCCAGCCTTCCATTTGCGGAAGCTTGGGATTCCAGGTCCCCCAGTAGTGCCCTTTCTCACCCCTTTTTTGGGGGGAGGTAAAATGGACTACAGAAAGAAGGGTACCCTTATTCTAACCTCTCCACTGGAGGACTTAGGATTTTTTTTGTTGGCTTTAAAGGGAAACAAGTTCACTATTGGACATGTGCTTTGAGGTTCTCTTCACCTGTTGGGTGCTGAGTGATTTTCCTCCTCCCTCCCGGGCCCCGGGGCCCCGGCCGGCGCTGCACCCAGAGCTCCGCGCCGGAGCCGGGCGGCACCGAGCTCAGCTCCAGCCTGGCGCCATGGGGCTCTTCTGGCTGTGGGCCAAAACCAACGGGATCCCATTTTGGTTGGTAGGTGAATTCACCACCCAGTTTAGAACCTATCTGAGTGGGGATTGGGATGTTCGCGGTACGGGATTTGATCCATGGCCAACATGGGGCTCTTCTTGCAGCGATAGCTAGGGAATGACTTTCCGAGTCCGAATGTGTTGGATTCAAGGAACCGGTTTTGGGGAATGAATCCCTTAAGGGAAACCATCTGGGGAAAGGTCTTGATGCCCTAGGAAACCAAAAGGGGATGGTCTTTTTCGGGTCATTACAATTCTCACTCCCTGAGAACCAGCAAGTCTTTGTTTGTGTATTCATGAGATTCAACCCTCGCGAAAGGGCCCCCGGGAACAAACAACAAACAGATCGGATACCCACCCAAAAGCAAAAGGTCAGGGAGAAGCTGGCGGAAGATGAAATCAGACAATGCTGGGGCCCCCTCGCAACCCCAATTTGCACAAGTGAGGGTCTCACTTTCGGGAAGCCAGTTGGGGTATTGTAACCTTAGCAAAAGGTGAGTCACAGGTCGTTTGGCCAGTACCCCCCAGACTTTAGGGGGACAAAGGAAGCCACCTGGGGGTCAAAACCGTGAAAGGGTTTTTTTCATTTTGAGACCTGAGCCAAGGTCAAATGTAGTGCTTGGAATTGTGCTTTGGCAAGAGGAGCCTCCCGTGTGCCGGACTCCGACAAGGGCTGGGAAAAACCTTCTCATCTGGCTGTGGAATTCAATGAGGAACCCCTCATTTATTCATTCACCCTTAGCGGACACAACTCCCCACCAAAATTTGGTGTCCCCCAAGGTTCCCTTCACGCACCGTGACTCCCATGTTGATTCCCAGCCTACCAACCCTATTGCTTGACCTCAGCTTTGCTTGGCACCTGCGGGCATGGAACCAGAAGACTTGGTGAGCAAAGCGGTCCAGCAGAGTTGACGCCTCGCGACATGGAATGCGACGTGCGGACTTTGGGTGTGGACGGGGAAGCCTTTTCTATTGCAACCTCATCACCAAACAACCCCCACAACCAAACAAACAACTGCCTAAGCAATCTGGAAAAGGGTACCGAGCCTCCAAAAAACAGTTCGTGCTTTGAATGCGTCCAGCCTCTGCAAAGGCTGGGACCCAAATGGACCTGAGCAAGTAGTCAACTCCAGGTGGGAACCCCAAGAAACACGTAAAGAAGCTCAACATTCAGCCGCACGTGCCCAGAGTTGCGATCGTCCCTTACGAAACCTCAACCCAGATTTGGAGTGACACTATGAACATGAATCATCGCTCCATGTTGGTCTCGAAAGGAATATCCACCATCTCTCAAGAGGAAATCACATAACTTCTCAAATCGGTCCATATTTTGGCATCAAAACAAGGACAGGGCGGAGTGGCTATTCTGAGTACCCGACTACCCATAAAGAAGAGTTATTTTGAGCGCGTTCAAAGGGGAATCCAGAAGAATGGGAAAGCGAAGCCTCCTGCTTGAAAGAAAGCTTCAAGCTGAAGCAAGACACCCCACCATTTGGGTATGATTTTGAATTGGTCCCTTTGGACATCATGTAGGTGAGGATTAATGTCCACTAACCCTCTGTTGAGGGGGTCCAAGTCAACTGTCAAAGCCATTTCTCAACAGCATAGGACGCCAAACAAGTATGGCTCTGTCAAAGTAAATCCCACCTGTACCATTTCTCCGGAAAGAAATGCTTTGCTAGGGGCCCACATAGAACGCCGAACAACTATGCCTCTGTCGACCCCGAAAGGCATAGTAAATCCCACGATGTTTCCCCTTTTCTTCACAGGGAAACTTCGGAAGCCTAGCCTGGCCGCTCCGGACCTCTCCGAGCTTGTCTGGGCAGAGAATCCCAAGATGGCTTTGCTTTTACTGTTGCGTTCCCTTTACAACCAACCAACAAAGGGGTACCAACTCCAAAACCAGGCGCCCCACTTCTCCTCTTTCTGTCTGTGAGGAGAACCCTCTTTTGGATAGGTTTTCAGGAAAAACAAAAGGGAACACCGAAGTCGAGGAAATCCTCGAAACCTCAGCTCGCGCTACGCCTCCGGGCGGGTTCCGCTGGAACCCGAAGATCTGCCGGGCCACCCGCGCCAACCCGCCGCCCTGGCGAGGTTTTCCGCCGGCGAAGACATGGCTTGCCCAACCGAAGTCCAAGAGGTACATGCCCTTAGCAAGATGCTAGAATATAGAGTAGTCTTGCGAGATAAGTCTGTATGCACATATAGTGATATACATATAACGTGTGTATATATATAATATGTACAGTGGATTTCTGAGAATAATGTTCTGGGTCTGTTCAGCGGGCCGTGTTGAATTGCCTGTTCTCAAAAGTTGCTTTTGTGTCTCAGCGGGAGTCCAATTTAAACCAACTTTTGAAGTGCTGGTGTGAGGATAAATGCAATCCGGTTGCAATCGCGGTGACCGATTGCATGTAGTCACTCCAAAAAAACAAGGTACCCTCAAAGAAAGACACACTGATGTACCCCTTTTGGGGCTGGCCTTTTTTGGGAGGCCAAAGCGAAAACCTGTTTTGCGGGGGTTCCATCTACTCACTTCCCCAATTGTTCCGAACTTCTGTTTGGCACCAACCGGTCTCCTTTTCTACACACCCAAGCCCACACGAGCGAGGTTCTTGAACAACACCCGCGCCTGCGGCGGCAGCACAGCCTGGTGCTTGTGCGACGAGTCGTGTTTTTGTTTACGCAGATTGATACGGAACCCACACATCCATTGAAGAGGACACTCCTTGCAGGGGACCCTTTTTTGGGTTCCATGCGAACATGCGGGAGCAAGGTTGGTTGCGGGAACCAAAAGGAAGCCGAAGCCCATGCTTGGGGGCGGCCGCTGTTTCGGGGGTTGAAGGGAGACCAACGGGAAAACGACGCCCATGAAGGTTTGACAACTTTGGAGACAAACCAAATTTGCAAGAGGGACATCATATGAGTCAAGCAACCAAGTCTTTGAATTCTAAGAACAAATACAACTCACTCCAAAACCACACCGAGACCTGGGAGTAGTTGAAATGTGGACTCTAGCAGTCCATTTTGAACACTATCTCTCGGCAAAGGCCAACCATGAGATTTGGGCTGGGCCCCAATCTAGCTGCTACGGGGATTGTAACCTACAGACTTCTAAGGGTCTCCAAAGGTTGCCTGGTGCGTGAATATCTGTCAATCAACCCCGACAAGGACACCAATTCAAAAAACCAAGACACGTGATATGACGCGCGAGACTTGGCTCCTCTGCCAAAACTTACTGTCACTTTTTGCTTCCCGCACATGTTCGGACACGTTTTGCTGATTGAAAGGGGAAGACAAAGGAGAAGCAAAGCAGCAAAGCGCCGAAACGGTTTCGTTGTCAGAGGCCTCCCACGCACTGAAGGCGGACCGCATGCGGCACATGGCGCATCAGGCTGGCAGGCAAAGGATGTCCCGTCTTCCCAGGATTTGTGCTTGCCTTGTGAGCCTTTCGCCTGCATCCTCAAAGCATCCGGCGAAGTGGGTGGCGTCGCTGTGGAAATCGAGGGGTCGCTTTTTACCACGAGTCTTTGGGGGGGAACCCAAAAATGGATTCTAACCCCGTGTGGTATTGAAAAGCAAACCCAACAAGGTTGCTGTTGCAAATTTGAGGAAACCCTGTTTTTGGAAGAAGACCCTTAGAAACCCATTGAATCCTCCGTTCGGGGTCGTTGAGGTCCACCCTCATCGTTGTGACAATCATGGATCGGAGGGCCAGCGTTTGAGCCATCAAACCTCAAGTGTGGGCCACTACCAACCCCTCGAAATAGATGCAGTGGTCTGTCCCCATCCAGCCGAGAGCGCGGGGTTCCGCGGTCACATGTTTTGCAGCAAAAACACCTCTGGGACCCAAAACCCTTTGTTTTCATGTTGGTCGATGGTGGTGGTAAGGTTTATGCCCCATCAAAGCGCTCGGCGAGACCCTATGGCCAACTCTAGCAGGGTTTCGGGTCCCATGACAGCATGAGACCACAAACTATCAAAACTATATTGCTTCACAGGACGCCGATCAAAGCGATCAGTCGCAAGGGATTTCCAATATCGTGGAGCCATTCCTCGGAATGCCCCGAAAACAGTTGCCCCATGGAGCGTGGACGTCCGCGAAGCTCTCTCCTTGACCAAATGGATCTGATTCACTGAGAAAAAAAAGCCAACAACTTTTTGTAAGGGCAAATGAAGGAACTCCCCCCCCCAAAAAAAAAGGTAGACAGTTGAGTCTCCTCCATTTGGGTAGCCCCCTTCAAATAAAATTCGGCAGACCAGCGAGCCCTCCAGGAGGTGATAGGAGATCTGGGGAAACGCGTCACCTTGCAGGCCCACTTCTTAATTCAACTTTGCTTCAACTCTTCAAACAGCCGGCAATTAGGGTGGGCCCAACATGCTGCTGTTTTGTTTGGCTTCCCGGTAAACTGGCCTCACAAGACATCGTTTTCAACTCAACCCTGCCTTGTACTCTGGGAGTCGAGGTGCCAATCTTTCGGTGCAGAACCGCCGCGTGCTGAGCCTTCACGTCTATGGTCTGTCGCGCGCTCGCGACTTCCGGGGAACTGCAGAAGTGGATCTTGTAGTCCCTGGCACATTTCACCTGAGCTTGCTGGTGCTCAGGGAATGACCGAGCCCGGATGTCGGGAATGACCCGGTTTGGGGGATTCCCTTAAACGAACCTTAAAAGATGTTTTTTCTCGGGGTCATTCCAGTTTAGTCCCTGCCTATCGAACCAGCAAGTCGATCTCTTTGCTTGCTGGGTTCTTAAAATGGAGTGTTGCCCAATCCTGGTCCATCCCAATTGGGAAAAACAGCCCAGCTGAATCCAGCTGAGTTTCTCGGTCCCTTGCTAAAGATGGGAGATGTAGGCTCACGCGCTCTAGTCGAGTATGGCTTGGACCCTGCCTCCAATCAGTAGACCGTTTGGGTCTGTTGTTTCAGGCTACCCGTTGTGGGTTGGCCTCAAAGGAAACAACAAGGAAAACACACACTGATCATTGTGGGGGGTTCACTAAAAGAGACAGACTCATTTCGGTCACTTGTTGTTCAAGACTTGGCCCTAAAGCATCGTAGCCTCTGACCCTTGCAATTAATGGGTCTTGGGGTGGCAGGGTCCCTGATCTTTGCATCTGCGGAAAACCATGGGGAAAGGTTGAATTCATCACCGAGGTGACGGTCAGACACTTCCGGATCCAATGATTTTGAGGTCGACTGAAAAAAGCCAAGTCGCCGTCTGCTTGGTGTCCCGCTCTCCAGCCCCCGTGGCCACGACGGCAATATCCCCGGCTTGCAGGTTGGGATTATCTATGCCAGGCATCTGTCGCACCTGTCCAGTCAACAGACCTTCCTACGTGCGTGGTTTTCCTTTCTCAAGACAAACCCGAGAAGGCACCCCAACACACACAAGCTCTTGAACACGACGCCAAACTCAGATGCCCACTGGATTTCCATGGGGAAAAATGGAATATGTTTTTGGTTGCTTGAGTTTAACGGGGAAGGAGTGAGGATTCCCTTGGTGCAGAAATCGGCCCTACCAAGCTCGACTGACAAGGTTCTGGGAATGGACGAAATCAGCGAGTTGCTGTGAAAAAAAAGGCAAGCTGTTACAAATGAGTGAGTTCCCCCAAAACTCCCAACTTGTTGCACCCAAAACACATTGACTGTGCCAGTTTTAGTCAACCACCAAGTTGCATTTGTAGCATGGTGACCTTTTGCAAAAAAAAAATATGGCCCTGGAAAGTGGAATAAAACCATTCTAAGCCAGTCGAACCCATCTCTTTCTATCCTAGCCAAATTATTTGCAGGGGTTCTTTGTTTCTTTGAGAACCAGCCAGCGCCGCCATCTCCGGAATTTGGGCGTACCTTCGGTAGCACCAGCCGCACAAACTGGACTGTGTCACCCTCCTTGAGGCGATCTTTGCGTTCCAATTGTCGGTTCTCGCGCAGGAAACGCAGCCTGACTGACTGGAGAGGCGACCATTTGGGTACTCCCTTGACGTTAAAACCCGGATAAGGGGGCGGACCCCAAAAAGGAGATCCTGCAGGATGTGTCAAAACAAAAGCAAACTTGCTCATTTTAGCTTCCCTTTTAACCAAAGTAAAAAGGGCCCAGGGTTGTCTAGGGCCTGTATTCCCGTTTAAAGATCACCCCGCCAAAAGGACCCTCACTTCAAAGGGGCCGAAAGGCGATGCTTGGAACCAGCAGGGGGAATGTCCCTGTTTTTCAGCAAGCATGTAGATCTGCTTACCTAGAAACCGAGCCTGTCTGGTCGTTGTGAACATGTTGCAACGGAGATTCCATATCCTTAGAATATGGCTCTAGACAGCTCGGTTTATCACAACGGACAGCATATTCAAGTAAAATCACGTACACACTCTAACAGGTGAGCAGGGCAAGCCATGATGCAATGATGCAACACCCAGAGGTAAGAAACCCAGTGGCAAGTTCCCAGCCGTCCGGTTACCTGCGAATTGGTTTGGCTTGGTGGCCTGGGCTTTGAACCCCGGTTCCTTCTGAGCCAACAAAACCCAGAAGGTCCAAACCACCAAACTCAACCACAAGCTACAAGCTGGGGGTGAGAAAAGAAAAGCGGGTCGGCAGTGGTGTCCTTTTGGGAAATAGATGGTCCTGGTTGATGTTTCCACCGGGCTTGCCACCAGAAGGTCAGAAGCTCAGAATCCAAATTCCAATCGCCTCGAACGACTGAGCTCTGCGCAGGTACTGGGGGCTCTCCGCCTGCAGGAACACCACCTCGTCCCCCACCTCAGGGTTGTCTTTGATTTCTGGACAAACTGCAGGAAATGGTTGGCGCAGTTGGCACCCTTTGCTCTTCTTCGTGCAGCTTGCACTCAATTTCGCTTTTGGTGTGTGCAGCTCGCACAGAACTGTTGGTTTGTGCTGGTTTGTTCGGATTCGTCGAGCCCCTGGTCGAGGGATCGGCAACCCCACTTCCAAACCGCCGGGTTTCTGGAGCTGATTGGTGCATCCAGATCCCAGACTTAGACTTTCGGCCGAGGTCGGCTTAGCCTCTCGCCAAAAGAACATACACAAATCCACTTGGGGCATGGAGGGTAGCTTGCCCTCAAATCTCCACCAGTTCACGCTATGCTTCAAAACAGAAACTCCAACCCACCCAGCTCTACAGCAAATGAGCATGTCTGGCCGTGTTCCAATTCTACCAACACAACAATCGACCCCTTTTGGAGGCTTCTGAAAATGGCCTCTAAAACACGCGCCTCTGCAAATGGGCGCTTTCGCTGAGCTTTTGGGTCGGGGTTTAGCAGATTTGGAAACGCCCCCTTTTTGGTTGTTGCCATAGGGGACTGATTCCCACTCTCAAAATTGTATGGGTTGTGAGCTGCAGCAAAAAGGGCAAACGAAGCCACCTTTGAACCGTGCACCCATGTTGAGACATACGGGACCCCATTTGATCGGTATTATTTTGTGAAAAAACCACCAGGAAACTTGGAACCGTTGGCCAAGGATTTTTTCCCCCGCATCCAAAATTTGCGCCTGGCAGAGGCCCTTGTCGCCCAGGAAGCAGGCCTCCGGCCCCGGGCTCACCACGGTGCCTTTCGGAACTCCGCCGTCCGCGGCAGCGACCCACTGCACAGGCGCTGGGAAGTGCTTTTGCACCTGCTCCTCGACCCACAAAGAAGCGAAGCAAAATGAGAGTAGATTGATGCGCGACTCCCTTTGGGGAAGTAAAGGGTAAATCTGGCGGTTTCCTTGTGGTCCAACCAAAAGAGGAAATCTATCTTGAAAAAACACTCACAGCGGGGTGAAGGTAGATTCTAAGAGGCCCACATTCGACCCCAACATGGGTGGGTCTATTGGGAATGTCGCAATCTACTTTCACCCAACCCCCTTTTGCTTTCTATGATTCCACATATTCATGGGTATCAAGTACAACGGTGCCGTTGGAACACAACACTTTCCGGTTGTTGCCCCATTTTTGTGTGACGGGTGTCACGCGAGGAATCCGTCACCTTGCAGGGGGCCCGGAGTCCTCTAGATACTTGGGCGTGTGTCAATTTGTTTCAGGGCACCCAGTGTAGTATTGGACAGTTTCAAAGGACACCAAAAGGAACAAAAAAAACATGACACATACCAGTGTGCCTCAACATAGGGCAACCCCTCCCTTTGCTCACAAAAACCGATCAAACGGGGACACCTAAGAAAGACACACCCGTGCCATGCCCATGTTTCCTCAGGTCTAAGCATACGTAGCTCCTCAAGCTCGGAGACCAGGCCTTGGATCTCCACTTCCTTTGCCTCTGCCACACTTGCCAGAGTGATCTTCATTGCGCTGCTTTTGCCGCGGGCAAAGCAACTCGCTGGCACTGTTGCCAAGGGAAGCTTGAGAGGCGGGTGAACGAAAGCTAGCCAGCCCCACCACGATATGTACCACGCAAACTCTGATTAAATCGGGCATTGTGGGAAGCTCAGCCCAAGAAGCCAAAGCTTAGAGAACTCCCGCTAGCACAGCCAGCTTTCGTGACTTGGTTTGCGGACAGTTGCTGGCTTTCCGACCCACGCCATCCCACGCCCTTTTAGTTACACGAGGAAGCAAGGTTGGTGTTGTAACTTGGCCACCTCCAGGCCCTTCTGAGTTGTGATCAAAAGAATGTTTTGTGAAAGATTATTTTGCTTGTTGGTGCGCAAATATGTGGGCGTGTTCCTCTAGCATGCAGCAATGTCACATGTGATGACAACTGGTGCGCTTAACAGGAAAGGTGCAGTCTCCATGTTCTCTGTGTGACTGGTTGACATTTTGCTGGCCTCAATTGCCGGACATCTGGCAATGACTCCCACCACCCAGTGCAAGTCTGCTCCCCTAGAACAACATAGAACCCAAGAGGGGCGTCCTTCTTTGACGAAATGCCTCTAAAAATGAGATCGCGTTGTTGGGGGCTCCACTCTAATCTGGAGAGCAAAAGAGCGGCCGGCTTTTTGATCTGCTGGCGACTGGCTGCGATTGTGGCTTTACACAGCTCGCTTCAGGAACCCCTCGGAACCAAGCAGGGAACGCTGTACAAGAGCGGGCTCAAGCATCTGCACGGTCAAGGAATGCAGCACACAGCCTACGAAGCGTGACAAAGGAGTGTAACCAACAAGGGCTTAAGCGCATGTGCAAGCATCAGATCCTAAACAGCAAAATGATGTCTCCCCGAACAGCTGCCGCTCACATCTGCTTGAAGCATCCAAGTCAACCAAAACATCCAAGTCATCTCAATATCTTCCCAGTACCCTAGGCCTGTATTGACAGCTGCTCCTCCAAAATCTGCGTAGAGCCTCAAACTCATCGGACCCCCTGATTCCACAGCTCCTCGCGAAGGGAAGCGCTCTATGATCCTGGCTTACACTTTCCGGTCGACAACTTAGCATCCAAATTATTTTACAGTCACGTGGGTATGAAACTTCGTTGGTGAGCCCTTGGTGGGCATCATGTAGGGTCGGATGGGATTTCCACCGGAAAGAAAGGTTCAGAGTCGAACCTGAAACATTTTCTGACTGAGGGGTGCTAAAATCCTCTCTGGGAGGTACACTCCTGCAAACAAACGGAAAAAAACATCGTTGGAAGGCGGACTTCTAGCTTCCACTCTCCGTCCTCGCAAAAGACATCCGCCTCTTCAGGCGAAGCAAATTCGAAGATGTACTCCTGGCCAGTCCCGACGGGGCTAGTCACTTCGAATGACTCTGACTATGGCTCGGATTTGCACGAAGCTCTGGACGCCGCCTCTGGAGGCCCTTGATCGAGGGCTCGGTACTCTTGAAAAGGCTGATTCAAAGGGAAACCACGAGGAAGACACAAACACCAAGTGGGGAACCATCACCCTCAAAACCGTTTCCCCCCCCCCCCACACCCCCGGCCGGCCATTGCAGCAGAGGTGTTTTGACTCCATGCAACTGGGAAAACGTTAATCCGGTCAAGGCTGGCAGTCTGCTTGAAAAACAAGCTTAAACCGAGTGAAGCAACCTTAAACCCACCCCAAACAAGCCAGCCACCACCCTAAACAAACCCTAAAGCAAACGAACACGCCCCAGGAACACGCCCCAGGTGAAAAGGTGTTCTGACCTCGTGAATTGGGAGTTTTTGAGAGAAAATGGGCTTGATTAGCTAAAACCCCCGCTGTCCTTTTGCTGCATCACCTCTTCCTTGCAGACCCTGACGGACATCTCGAGGACCTTGTCTGATCTTAGCATCACTCGGTCCTGCACAAGCCGACAGCCAGATTGGAGCCCTTGGGGGGTATGGACTATGCCAAGGAACCCCGAAAACACCTAAGAGATTTCATTGGTTTCTCTGTAAATACCTCACCAAGAGGGCTGTGAAATCCCGCTTTGGGAGTTACAGTAACAAATAATATGGAAATCGGGGCCAAAAGTGGTGCTAAATGTTTCCCTGTGCTTTCCTCCAAGAAGTGCACCCAAAAAACAACACACCCAAAAACAAAACACACCCAACGGGCTTAGTGAACGTCACATTTCGAGCTTGCAAACTTGCGAGGATCCAGGGAACACTTGAGCTCCTTGAAAAGAAGCCACGTTGCCTCGCAGATTTCCCCGTCTGACGGTCTTGCTCAAGCGTTGGGGATAAGGCGCCTTTCTTTTGGATGTGCCCTCGTTTCGTCACAAAAGGCCTACATTTTTGTTGCCTGGCCTTCAGAAAGGAGCTATGGTCGGACCCACCTGGGCAAACAACCACTTTCGAGCTCCCACTCCGCGGGTCCAGGCCGTCAGGAATCCGCACCGCCGACTTCACCTCAGGCAAGCGAAGCATCCCAGGGCCCAGGGCAAGGGGTTTGCCCTGGGGGGGGGAATCTGTATCTCTCGTTGTTCCGGAACCCCCCCCTCCCCCACTTAAAGAGGGTACCCCCATTGTACCCCCAAAGCACCCAAGAAAACTCCAGCCTATTTGCCCCCTATTGGCATTGGGGCGGGCCCTTGGCTAGCATGAGTGGCTGTGTAGTGTTTTCTTTTTTTGGCGAAGGTAAGATGGGATCCTTGCAACATGGGCCAGTGGTTGTGCAACCCAAGTCTTCCTGGTGCTGGTTTCCCTCAAATTCCCTCAAAGGGAATCTGAAAGGTTTGGTCTGAACCTTTCAAGGCTGGTGTCCAAGCCTTGCAAACGGACCAGTGAACCACAGTTTTCCGGATCCCCTCTGAACTGGGATCAAGGGTTTTGCCCATCGAGGAAACTGGGCAAAACCGTGGGCTGTGCAAGATGCGACACCGTCATGATTTTGAATCGTGCCCTCTTTCACCCAACTGAACTCCCCTGCAGATTAAACGGATGAACCCTCCAAGAGCAACATTTCTGGAGAACCGTCCTTTTCGGGAGGCCTCCTTTTGATCTCCTTTTGGGCTCCATCTCCTACCCCCCCCACCCGCGCCTTGGTGCTTGAGCCCTTGCCGAAGATCCACAGCTGCCCCGGGCTCAGCTCCAGCCCCCGCTGGTCCCTTCGGCCGCTCCCCACCCGCAGCCGCGATACCTCGAAGGAGAGGCCCGGCTCCGACACGCGCCTCGAGATGGACACCGCCGGTCGCGTAGCAACCGCCGGGCTTCCCTCTCATTGGTGGCTAGGATTGTCGTCTTTTGGCTTCCCTCCAAAACCAACAAGGAGTTCCCCAAAAGAGACACAAATTCAGTTGGCCCGCTGTGGTTTGAGGAACCAGGGCTTCAAATCCCCAAGCCATGTCATCCCGTGTCAAGCCACTGGGTTGCTCTTCCCCTAAGCCAAAGGTCGACCATCTCTTGTAGGTTTAATAGAAAAAGGTCTGGGCTAATCCTCACTTCCTGAGTGGGTTGGCCTAAAAAAAGTCTGAACTGCATATTTATCACTAAAATTGCCTTCCCGAAAAGCTCAAAGTCCAAAAACTCAGGAAGTGAGAGTTACTAAGGTCGGTCACAAAGACCGGCCACGCCTCGTTCGCTTCGGCCCAATTTTGGTCAAGGCGCGGCGTCGTAGGGCAACAGCTCCAGCTGTGCAGCGATCGCTCGCTGCGCTCGCTGCGGCTCGGCGTGATGGTGACCGCATCCTCCTACGACTCCCAAGAGGTAAGGTGCCATGAGGCTTTCTCAACATATAGTGCTCATCTATGGGAGGCTGCTTTCCGTTCGTTTCCTTTTAAATCCAACTCATCAGGGTCCAAAACACATGGCATTGCGGCCGTGAAGTGAAGAACAAATGTAGCCAGGAGTGTGGGAGCAAACCCGTTAATTAGCATTTAGATAGCTCCTTATATGCAGCTGGCTACGCATGCGCGTGTTGCCCCTAGCGTTGCCCTAGCCCCAGCCCTTTGCCACTTCGCCGTTTTGCTTTTGGACCCTACTTGGACTATGGGAAACTCGCTCTTCAACCCCACGCCCAGACTAGCGCCGGGTTTTCCCAGGATTTGTGTGGTTCTCCCGGATTTGCTTTTTTTTTCCAAGATTTCAGTGCGGACTTCCCGGGGAATTTTGTGGTCTGCGGGGATACGATGGCCAAGCTTCCTGCGGCTCCGTGACAGCCTTGACCACCTCCAGGGACCTCTGCTGGACCCCGTCCTGGCGGAACCCCCAAAAAATCCAAAAACAAGAGCTCCGCTTGTAGCGCGGCGGGGGCGAACGTCTTTTCGATGCTTAGTCCCCCCCCAGCTTACTTGGCGAGAAAATCACCGGAAATCATGTGAGTGGTGTCCTGTGCCTTCGACTTCTAAACAATGTCCGGCGGAAAGCTCCCCTTTGTCCAGGCCTGTTTTTGGGAGAAAAGCCCCATCCGAAAGACCCAAGTTCCGAAAAATAGATGGCCCTGGTAAATGAAATAAAGCCCATCTAAACAAGTGCCTTCGATTTTTAACCAAACAAAGCTAAAAAGGACACCTGTGGACTGAACAAGATCCCTGCCTGCGCCCGATCCGTCACAGCCTTCACCATGTAGGGCTCCGGTGCAATGGCCAACTGCCGACGTTCGCGAGGAGTTGCCTGATCAGCCACGGACTCTACAGAATGCAGATCCCACGCCGTATATGGGACAATCCAACTTCGGTCTAAAATAACAAAAACAAGCGGGGGGGAACCATGGTAGAACAGAATGGGTTGTCGTTTCTAGGTCCACAATACTTCCTACTTTTGGTGAAGTTCCGTGGCTCATCCCCGTCCCAAGCCCCGAAAGTGACCATAGACTTTCCACATCCAAACCTGAACCCCCCCCTCTTGAAACTTCACGGCCTCGGGTTCAGCCTCTCGCCTCGATCTGCTCCAGTCATACGTGTCCATGTTGAAAGTTCAATCAGGAAAGTTACGATCGGTTTGATTCAATCTCACTTGCACCTTGCTTTTGACCCCTGACTTACACCCTCAGATATACCCGAAATCATACTTGACTGGTTCTCAGTCGGGAATGAAATCATGACCCCCATGTGGCTTCTGTTTGCAGGGAACCCGAACTAGGATCAAGGTTCGATGTCGATTCTGTGCATAGAACTAGCAAGCAAAGTGCGCGCGCCTGCAAGGATTCCACGGACCCCACATCCAGCTGGCGCATGTCCACCTGGCGGAAGGTGACAAATGACTCGAACTTTTCACTCCATGCAAAAATCGGGTGGTCTTACTGGTTCTTGTGGGGAATTTTGACTTTCAAGGAATTTCCCGTTGCATCTCAGAAAGCGGAGACCTCAAATTGTGTTTCTACCTGAACGGTGCCCTAAACCTATTGACTTTTGGATCTACCTACATGGCTATGAAGGTTCATATGGGCCGTACTAGGACCGTTATACAGCCAGCAAAACCAGCTACTCCATATAGCCTTGTTAGGAATCGGTTTCGGGGGGCAACAAATGATCAGACTTATGTGGAATTAGTCTATATGGTATTGTTTCCTCTAGTGGGTGTAATCCCAGGCGTGATAGAACAACACTAATGAGACCTGAGCTTCGGCCAATCTTCATTGTGTCCCCAACCTTGTCTTTTGGTGAGTACCCCCCCCCCCCCCATTTCCTCGCAATTTGGTAAGTGTCAGTGTCAGCCTGTCCTTCCCTTTACAATGGACAACTCACATGGATGTTTCTCAAGGTGGTAGACTGCATTTATGTTGCTATTCAAGGGGAACTCCAAAGGACACAAACAATTTCTGAGGGCTTCATGTTGAAAAACACCTCCCAAACGGATTAAACTCCTAACTTCATGTCCTTCAAACCACACAACAGCGGCTCCCTGTTTTTGAGCTAGCGTGGTTGCTTCCCTTTGGTTCCCCTTTAAACCCCATCTCCAACACGGCCTCCGCCTCTGAGACTGCCCGTGCCCGCCTCCCCCACGTGGCGCCGGAACTCCGCGGAGCCGAGCACGCGGCCCAGGGAGGCGCAGGCGTCCCCCAGGCCCCGCTGCAGATGGGGCAGCCGCTCCGGCGCGCTCCGCGCCCGCAACCTCCAGCGAGAGACACGGAGGCGCTTTGGTCTTAGACCCCGAAATTTTGACCTGGGTTTCCAATAAATTAAATTTGGACCTTTTGGGTTTGCTTTTATGGAGCTTTTTGGTTTGCCGAGAAATGAGCTCAAGACCACTGCCCTCGGAGAAATGGAGAATCCTACTGAATGGTTCAAGGGTTTTAGGGGTGTCTCGAGGGTTCTAGGCTTCGACACGAAGTTGAAGGAGTTCAAGGGTTCCACAATGTGGGTGTTTCGCAGAAAAAAGCTGTACCATAAAACGGTTGGTTTCAGTTTGGTGTCAGTTTGGTTTCCCAGAAAAATACCAGCCTGAAAAATAAGGAATGCCCTTTTGGATGGTGGTTGGGTGTGTACATGGCTCGGTACCCATTTTTTGTTTTAAAAAACGACCCACCTTGGAGGTTCGTCTCAAAATTATCTGGATAGTCCAAACCAACAATTTTGAGGGAAACCAACATGTTGGAGGCTCGGTACCCAGTTTTGGGTTGGTTTGAAGGGAAATAAAAGGACAACGGAAACATAAGTTCGCTTTATTTTCTTGGGTGGGTTCATCACCTTTTGGGCAAGTGTAAAGTGAGCTTCCTTTGAGTGGCGAGTTGCTTAAATATAAAAAGGAAACAACCATATGTGGGAACAACCATATGTGGGTACGTCACAAAATGGGGAGCCCCATTTCTAATGATATTTGAAGGGACACCACAAGGACACCAACGAGTCTGAGTGCTATTTTGAGACAAACCCACGCGGCCATGGTTACCTGACGAACTGTTGCAATGGTTGCCAAACATCCTTGATATTGAATCTGGTATGAAAGTGGTAAACCCAAACCAATGTAAAGAATCAAAAGAGCGGGCGGGGGGGGGCCCCGTGCTGACTGATTTTAAGAGAAGGGCCCGTGTTTGTTGAATGGGGTTCTGCGGTGCTTGAAAGCCAAGTTACTAAGTTGTTGGCCATGATTCCTTGGTACTGGGCCAAGTCAAGTTGGCGGTAGTGGCAACCCAGGCTCTACACCCTTTGCCATGGTTGTCAATAAATCCCTATCAAGTCAAGCCATGGCATGGGCAACCAATGGCATGGGAAGCACCCAACAGCTCTTCTCGTCGATTTCTGCAAAAATGGATAAAACAAGTCCGCACGGGTCTTACTATCCCCATGAAGAGCCCCCTGAGATGGACTACATGGCCAGTACCCATCGCTTGCCGCGCGGCTCATCTGCGATTTGCAGCATCTGCCCTGCATGGCTGCTCTTGCCGCTCAAGAAGGCCCGCTGAATGGCCTTCCAGCGACAGCCGACAAGCGAAACAGCTTCTATTACGGGTCGCATTCCAAGGATGTCCCTCAAGCTTCCTGTTGCTTTTTCGCCGCCTGGAAAAACTGAACATATGTCCAGTAGTGATAGCTTCCGTTTAAAACGGAGAGGGGAAACTAAGACATATTCGTTTCAGCACATGGAAGAAAGGATGCTCCACAAGCACTAACCTATTCTCTACACACAACTCTTTGCCGTGCACGGCTAGGCTGCACTTGTCCCATTCTATGGCTCCCTCGTTTTTATGCGGGGGATGTCGGTGTCTCGAAACCTCCATTTGCTTAAGCCCCGTGGAAAATCATGTCCAATAGCGATAGGTTCTCGTTAAAAACAATGGATTCTTGAGCAAAAGAAAGAAAAGACAGGTGAGCAGCCCCAGAAAACCGGAAGACGTTTGGCTCTACCAAGTTAAAAAAAGCCGTGAAGGCACCCAGTCACAGGTTGCTCAGAGCTCCATTTCCAGACCTAAGCGGCCGGCAAATCGCGGGCTGCAGAATTGCAGCTGACTTGTCCCGCTGGTTCTCAGAAAATCGTTCTGAGCAAGTTGCGTGATTTACTCCCACTGTTGACGGGGAAACACAAAAACAACTCAGGGGCCGGACAAACTTGTCCACCTAAACATTCCCCCCCCCCCCGCCAAACACAACCTTCAGGAAACGTAATACTTCAAATGGCCAAGATGTAGTACGGTCCGTATTCAAGGAGTATCTGAGCAAAAGGCGTTCGACTTTGAGCATCGTAAACGCTCCGAGGTGAAATCTCGATGTGACGAGATCAAATCCTCCAACGACATCTCTTTCTTGCGTTCCCTTGCCAGCGGACAAAAGGAAAGCCCACAAGTCCACCAATCCACCCGCCTCTCGCGCCCGAAAGCACATCTTCTCAGAGGGCGCGGGCTTTTGCACCTGCGAGGTCAAAGGAAGTCAAAGGAAGCCATGGCCAACAGTCTCCAGGCTCGGGGGTAAGAGAAACCAAAGCAAGGCACCGACTTTTCCGGTTGCAACCCCTCTATTCTGCAGGTTTCCACATGCTTCTGCGAATTCTTTGCAGTTTTGCTTTAGCTACGACAACCTGTGCACACCCTGCCAAACTTGGGACAGGGCTGGGTGTCATAGACTAGGAGACCCTGATATGATGGCTTACACGTTGGTGTCCCTTCAAAGTGGGGGGTGCATCTCTTCTCTGGCAAGTTCTGTGGGCTCGAAAACGAATCCGCAAGAGGTGCCTAGGTCCTCCAGTAGAGAGGTTGGAATAAGGGTACCCTTTTTTCTGTAGTCTATTTTAGTAGGGGAACCCTCCCCAGAAAAGGGTCAAAGGGCACTACTGGGGGACCTAGGTGCGCTTCATTCTTCGCGTTTTTCCCCCGCCGTGTTTCGCTGGTCCAGCCGGGCCTTCTGTCCACGGGCCCGCGCCAGCACATAGGCGGCATCCAGGGCGCCGTTCAGCTGCTCCAGCCGCGTCCGCAGACTCGTGACCTTCTCCTCAAATTCGCATCGAACGGGCGGCGAGTCGCTGAGTCGCTGGGTCTGTCTTTTTGTTGAAGAGACAGAAAGCCATGTGACCTCTATGGGGAACCCTTTTTTTGGCCTCTATGGTTACCCTTTTCTTATTGTTAAAAAAGGGGAACCGCAACCAAAACCACCCTTTTTGACATACCCATATGAGCCGTTCTGAAAAAGGTGGACGATCCTCTGTTGGCTGCTTTCAAGGGAAACCAATGGAAACTAACCATTTGTGGGGGAAACACCTATGAATGTGTCTGTTTTAAGGCAAGCCCGTGCCCTTTTGCTTTCCCAAAAATCAACCCTGGAAACCCTCATTTTCCGCGCCACAGCTTCCACCAGTGCATCCAGCACAGGATGGAGCCAAGCAGACACCCGGATCATGCCATAGTCCCCCAGGCCATCGCTGATCCGGTGGAACTGGACCAGTACCTCCCGCGAAACGATGGAAATTCGGACCCCTGGCCATCACCAAACCAGACGCATTAGGCCTTGCGTGCTCCTTCATGCCGAATTTGTACCCCCGGGTTGGCAGTTGGTCTTAGGCCGAATGTTGACTTATGCCTTTTCAAGCTGGCTTTGGAGGAGTCTTTTGGGTGAGGTCCCTGAACAAACAGGCGGTGGAGATATATTTACTTGCAAGGTGTGGGGTAAATGTGAGTCGGAAAAAACACATATATATGGCACACTAGAATTTCCGCAAGACCGGGTGAAAAATCAAGACTTGCGGACTTCTCCGAACCCAATTAATGGCTGGGACTCCTCATCCTCATATACCGAGGTCTTGATTGTGGCTCAGTGAAAATACATCGGCTCCCATACACTTACGCTCGATCCTCTACATCGGCCGGTACAGGTGATGTTTGTTCACTGGCCCAAATGTATTTCAGACATTGCCGTGAATCCGCTCCACTTCCCTTGGAAAGCGGGTAGCCACTCCTTTACAGGGAAACCGAGAGGAAACCTAGATGGGTCTCGCACTTTGTGAAGTCTAGAACAGGGTTTCGACCCCTTTTGGGGACCAGTTTGGCATACCTCCAAATGGAAACCCGTACCCTTTCAGCTAGTCCATGTCTCCAAAGTAGTCTAAAGACTACCGCCTACCGTGCAAGACTACAACCCTCTTTCTTCCTTTTCCCTCGGCCCCAAAGGTCTGCTTCCATTGATGCCGGCGGACCCCGCGCCTCACCGAGTAGGTACATGATGTCAGAGGCGATGCTCACCGCTGAGAGCCAATTCTCCCGCTGCACGCTGTCCGCACGCAAGGCGCCCACCAGGCCGCTGCCCTGGAGCTCAGGTGAAACCAGCCAAGGGACTTCCCTGAAAAGCCACCAGGGAGCCTTGATTTTTTATCAATCCCGTTTTTAGCCGAACCTTGCCCACAGGGAAAGAAAGAGTTCCCTGAGCCATTCTTAGGCGGACCTTGCTAGGGAAAGAAAGATGTTACTGGTACTGAACTGGGCCTGCGAAGCTAGTGCTTGCTTGACCCTTTTTGGCAAATTGGCGTACGGTCCTGACAATTTTAGGGCCAAACAGTTTTCAGTCGGACCCAAAACCTTTCACCGGTTGCTTGTACCAAGATGATGATTTAGTCATAAAGGCTTTTATAGGCCTCACTACCATGGACCCCTATGGTGGCTATTGGGCTATCCCGTATTAACCCCATAATAAGGCCTTATATCTTAAGGGTTTTTGTTTGGCTTCTTCTGGGCTTACCCAGTAGCCCCCCACCCCATAGCCTTCGCTGGGTTCCCTGAGGCTAGAATCCAGCAGGAGCTCCAATGAGGTCCATGCGCCCAACTGAATTCCTTCTGCCATTTTTTTGTTTTGGGTATCAAACCGATCCGGAATCTGTTCAGCTTGCTTGCTTTTTGGTGGGAATTGCTTGGGGTTTTGGACATGGACCACTGGATCCCTTATTCAGAAAGCCACGACCTCCCTTTGCTTATTTTCGTCCCTGGAACAAATGTGAATATGTCCAACAATGATAAATTCCCTTTGGAACCAACAGGGGAAAAAACAGTATGCTCAAGCAAATGGAATACAAGGGACCCTCATTGAGGACCACCAAGTTAACGAAAGCATCGCTTTGTGCTCTGAATGGCAACACGGGGAAAAAACATGGGGCATGAATCCCATGTATTTCTGATGCCCAACAAATCCAACAATTCCAATGCATACCCATTTGTTTCAGCGCCCTAAGAGGCTCGGTTGGCCATGGGCTTCAAGCTCACACCCGGATCCACCGGTTGCTGCCTGTCCGAAGTCAGAAGGCGAGTGCCCAGTGGCCATGAAAAAAGGCACCCTTCCTGGTTGGTTGAGTTACAGTGCAGAGTCGCGCCCTTCCCCCCCTCAACCAGAAAAAATGGGTTGCTCTTCCCCCTTGAGCAAAGGGCTAACCGTTCAAAGGCTTTGAGGAAAAGCCATAGTTGTTTCCGAAAGATTCCAGGGGCCATCCGGTCGCACCAACGGCCAGCCATGAAAAAAAGTGCCTGTTGGGTTGGTTTGAAGGGAAACCGAAAAGAAACCAAAAACTATGGGGCTTCGCCCTATTCTGAGACAATCCCAACTTAAAAAAGAGAGCAACTTGTGGAATCCACCAGCCAACATTCAGCCCCGCCTTGAGGCTGCCGCGGAATTGCTTCCTGACCTGGACTGCTTGGAAGTGGACATGTGTCTCATTTTTCGTTGGAATCCCACCTTTTGGTTAAGCTAGGGCAAGCCCAAAGAAAAAACACCGAATTGTCCGGGCTCCCGAATTTTAAAACCGATTCCTCCCAGACCATCTAAGGAGTTTTGATTATCCCTCCGACGGGCGTTGGGTGTTTATATAAACCAAACAACCAACGATGAGACGGACGCTTCCGGCGGCGTGGAAAATGGGTCAAATGGTTCGAGCGATGGCCCGCGGGTGGACTGAATCACATCCCAGGTAATCTGGACGCGGCAAACTTGTCCCACCTTAAGAAAGTGGGGGGTGGAAGACCCACCAGAAACATTCCAGTTTGGGGCCAATTCCATTGGGGTGGGGATTTCGATTTTCCGAAAGAGTCGAAGGGTTTGCTTCTGAAATGACCCCCCCCCTGCTCCCCCAGAGAGGTTGTTAAGCTCGGGCCCCAGTGTACCCCTGTCAGAAACCAACAAAAAGAGAGCGATGCTAATTTTACAAACACCAATCGGTTCGGTCGAGCTTGGGGCGTGTTTTTTACGGTGCCCCTTCCTGGAGGGCTTTCAAGGAAGCCAAAAGGAAACCCACCCTTCCAAGCGTTGTGCGGATGGTTAAAGCAGCAAAAGCTAAGGAACAGCTTTCAGTGTTCGACACAGGCTCAACAGGGGCCGCCATATTTAGCAGCGCAACCTTGCACCGTTTGAGGGAAACAACTTCTAATGGTCAGGTTCCTGAGCTAGAAGCTGCACGAGCGTCAAAACAAAATCTATTCTCTTGGTTCACCTCAGTTGCAATACCATAAAAAAAACACCATCCTGCGTGGTGGTTTACAAATCCATCCATCCATCCTTGGTGCGAAGCAAATTCTGTCCATCCGGGCCCATGAGAAAAATGGACGCCCCTTCCAAGGCTTGGCTCGTGTTTATGGCAACGAGAGATGAGTGGTATGATGTGATACGGGACCAGCTTGATTTCGTTGCTTCTAAGTACAGTACCTGCAAATGGGCAAGGCACATCACAAACAAACTCATTCTTTGCAAAAACAAGAACACACGTTGGGGCCCATGAAAAATCTGGAGGGCATGAAGAACCGGCAAAGGATAGAACTTGCTCGACTGACTGCAACAAGGCCTCGCCTCCTTGAGAATGCTCTCAAGCGAGGCTGACGAATGGTCCTGAATCGGACTTTCACAAACATGAGTGCGTCTTTTGTTGAGCGGGCCTCTTTGTGGGCTGTTTGTTGAAAGAAAACCAGAGGAACACCGGCACAAGCCACGTGTCCGGAGTTCATGTGGTCTATCACAACTCTGCCTTTCGTCCCGCGCTTCTGCCTTTTCCTTGCTATGCTGGCACAATTGCACTAGCACACTTGCATAAAGCAACAAAGTCCTGGCAACAAGCCGAGTAGGAAAGCCAATGGTCTTGCGCTCCGGCAAGTCCATTCTTTCTGAGGCGTTTTCGGACAGGAAAATGCCAGCGAACACATCACAAGACTCGCAGCCTCCCAGTTGAGCTCCCTACCAGGCCCTTGGACCAAACCCAGGTCACTGAAGCCAGCAAAAACAGATAGGTTTCATGCCGAGCTCCGAATGGTTCAAGCCAAGTATAAAATATGTGTTGAGACTTTGACTTCAATCGAAGTGTTTATCGATCACGGCGATTGTTTTTTGACGCTTTGATTGAACTTGATTCAGGCTAGAAAGTTGTTCTAAGACTTTTATCGAAGTGTTTGATGATTTACGGGCTTTGACTGGCCTTGGCCCCCACTAGAAATTTCCATGGGAACAACAAAAACACAAAAGAAATCCTTTTGTGGTCGTTGATAAACGGGGCTGTTTCTCCTCCAAACAAAAAGTCGAAACCAGAAACCGGAGCTCCTTTTCTGGTCGTCGAACTCCAAAGGTTTGGTCGTCAATAAACGGGGTTTCCCCCCTCCAGACAACAAGCATGGGATGCTTCGACTGGGTCCGGTCCTCTCCGTTCTCCAGGGCCTCGAGGCGTGTGGTGCTCTCAGCTTCTGCCCCAGCAAAGAGGCGGACACACCTGAGACGCAATGGGTGGAACCTCATCGGTCCAAAAAGGGCCCGACGTGGTGCGCATCAAAACTCGGTGGGGATTCAGACGACCACCAACAACTTCTCAGGTGGCTCCAACTCGTAAACAACTCACAGCCATATGGGTGCGGGTGCTTTGTGGGTTGGTTTTAAATCGAGAAACTGAAAGGACAACCACATTTTTGGGGGGCACCCCATTTTAATTACACCCATATCTCAAGTGAGTGATTTGTAATTATGTATTGGTAAGCCCTTTGGTCTGGCAAATATATTTTTGTTGGGGGGGTTGCCTTGAAATGAAAGGGAAAGCGAGGCCAGGAACTGCCCCGGATTTGCTTCAGCCACGTTTGTTGGAGGGTAACTGCTTTTATTGACCAGACAACTGCTTTTCTTGATCCGCCAAACACCCCTCTAAAAAGTGGCACTTCTTGCTGAAAGGAACGATGAAGGAAACCCAACAAGGCCAAAAAGTCAATAAGGTCAGCCTTTGGTCTTGCAGTTTTGGGTGCGTGTTTTTGAGGGTACTTCTCTTTGCTGGTTCAGAGGCAAACCAAACGAAACCAAGATGGTCTGCTTGTTTGTGGCCGTTGGCCTCCCTATTTTGGCACACCTGGATCGCCAGCTGCTGTTTTCTCGCCGGCAACTGTGACTTGTTGTAGGCT